CTTTGCAGTGTGAGTTCAGCCTGGCGTTTTGAACTGACTGTTGGCTGTGCAGTTCAGGCTGGCCTTGAACTTGTGGTGATCCTTCTGCCTTAGCCTCCTGAGTACTGGGATTACAGGTGTACACTACCACACACAGGTAAGTTTGTGGTTTTTTTTTGGTTTTTTGAGACACGGTTTCACTATGTAGTTCACACTGATGTGGAACTCACTATGTAGCCCAGGCTGGTCTCAAACTCACAGCAATCCTCCTGTCTCAGCCTCCTGAGAGCTGGGATTACAGCACCACCACGCCTGGCTATGTTTGGTCTTTTGTAGTGGCCTACACCAGAAGAGTAAAGCTGATATTATGTGACCTATACATCATTTAAGACAATTCTGAATTAGCTGCCAACACATACTATGGGACAGAAAATAAGTCAGTGGTTTCTAAGAGGCTGGGGAAGAAGTTAAATTACAATGGGCAGGGACAAAAAAATATTCTTTTAATTGTCTGTGTTACAAAAAACCCTGGGTCACAGCTTCTGAGGTCACCTGGGGGTCTGGCCTTGAGGTGGGCCCAGGGTCAAGCCTACCCCCTTGTACTTGGCCTGGGGACTAGAGACCACAGCCTGGACATTTCCCTCTATCCTGAGTCTCACAGCGAGAGCACTCGAGGCCATTTTCCTAAGTCTGGCTACATGGCAACAACCACTGATGTGTGGCTGGGACTGGCGTCCCGGAGGAAGGAGATTGGCTAGAGAAAGAGCTGCAGGCTGAGAAGGGAAGAAGACAGGCAGGGTGGCGAGTGGAGACGGCAGACAGGACACCTGTCCAGGGGCCCAGCAGCTGGGGATCTGGCCCAGAGCACAGATGTGCTCCATTTCCCCGGGTTGGTGGGTGGCTTCCTAATTCCTTCAGTGATACTGGGAATAGAAATATTTGCCCTGCCTGGCATAATGTGGGCCTGTAATTCCAGCACTCTGAGAGGCTGAGGCAGGAGGATCACAAGTTCCAGCCCAGCCTGGGCAGTTATCAAGATCTTGCCTCAAAATATAAAAGGGGGTAGGACGTAGGTTAGTGCCAATGCCTTGGGTTCAATCTCCAGTGACACACACACATAATTTTTTTTACACAAGGTCTGAGAGTTAAACTCCTAGGCTTACGCAATCGTGCTCAACTTCTCTACAGATTGCTTGGACTATAGGTGTGTGTCACCACACCCAGTTTAAAATGTAATTTTGTTTTTTTCCCTTTCAGTGCAGGTGTTGAACCCAAGGCCTCTGCTCTGAGCTACATCCCCAGCCCGGTTTTTCATTTTGAGACTGGGTTTTGCTAAGTAAGACACATAGGTGGCTGTGAGATCTGCTTAGTTGGGAAAGCAGGCAGCTGCGCAGCAGGCTCCAGCATTGGGGGCTCTCTGGAGGGTGATGTACAAGATAGGGCCGTTATCTGATGCTCAGCTGTGACTTGGCTCTCACGCCAGCAGGGAGGGCTCTGCATGGCCGCTTGGCACGCGTGCCATAGACTTGCCGGTACTGCTTCAGACGTTGGGGCTGCAAGACTGAGGCACATCCCTAGAGGCTTATGTTTTAGAGTGGGGGGAAGCAGGCAGTAAACCAGTACAATTCAAGTGGAACAGTGATCGTAGCCATAGTGAAAAATAAAGCTGGAAAGGAACAGGCAGGGCAGTGTATCCGGTAGACGTGGGCCACATGCACACCAGGCAAGTGCTGTACCCTGACCCCCACTGCCAGCCCCAGGGAATATTTGGAAGAGGTGGTCCAGGAAGGTGATACTGGAGCAGAGATGTGCATAGTGAGTCAGGGATCCATGCGGTTACCTGGGGAAGTGTGTTCTAAGGCAGAGAAAGACAAATTTAGCCTGATCCAGGGCAGAGCCGAGTTTCAGGGTTGAAAGCTATAAAAATTACCGTGGGACCATGATGATGGGCAAAATAAATCAGACACACAAGCTTAAATATCACATGGGTTCTCTTACATGAGAAACCCAAAGTATAAAGAGCAAAATAAAATAGATAATAGGAAGTAGGGAGATAGAGCATTCTCAAATGGGAAGTGGATCAAGAGATGGTGGGGTGGCAGGGATTTAGCTCAGTGCCGCCACCTGCCTCGCCAGGGCAGGGTCCTGACTTTGATCTCTGGTACCAAAGAGAAAAGAGAGAGAGGAGAGAGAGAGGAGAGAGGAACAGGGAATGAAAAGAAAAGTGAGGATGTGTTCTGTGCATAAACCAACCCCACACAAGGCAGGCAAACATTTCATACCGCAAACATGGACTAATGAAAACAGACAACTGAGAGCAGGCACTGAAGTCAAGGCCAAGGGAGGGCAAAAGAGCGGCTGAAGACGGACACTGCTGTGCTCAGCTGTTCAGAATAAAGGGCGCCATACGGGGCTCTGGCAGTTTTTTGAAAAACATTTTTATTAGTACGTACTTTTTACACACAGTGCTCACATTCTCAGGGAGTTTGTATCTGTACTGTACACAATGTACCCTTTCTCTCTCTCCCATTCACCTTGTTACATTTTCTCCTTTGAAGGCTATTTTGTGGGAGCCCCAGCTGGAAGAATCTTTCAGTGTGAAGTGGGACTGATCTTGAGATCTAGTAAGAGAAGACAGTACCAGCAGGTGTGGTCTGGGGAAAGCACTGGAATTCAGTATCTGCCAAGGCTAGGCTGGCAGAGCTGGGGTGGGCACTGTGCTGAGCAGCCAGGGACGGCGAGGGAGGGAGCAGCTGTCAAGGCAGCTCTGGGCTTTAGGTCTCAGTCCTGACAGCTACCCGATGCACGATAATGGAAACACTGCTATGGCTTGAAAAGGTAACAGATTTCAGCATTCTCGTCCTTTCCTAAGTCATAACTCTTACTACATTTGGAATTGTTTGGTGAATATTTATTTTTGGTTTTTAAGACAGGGTCTTGCTAAGAGCTGGCCTTGAACTCATAGTGATCCTCCTGCCTCAGCCTTCTGAGTGTACCACACCTGCCTGAGTGATGGATATTTAGAAGACAGCTAAAGCCAAGTGTGGTGGTGCACGCCTGTGATCCCAGCACTCGGGAGGCTGAAGCAGGAGGATAACCATGAGTTTGAGGGCAGCGTGGGCTACACAGTGAGTTCAAGGCCAACCTGAAATATAGTGAGATCCTGTCTCAAAAACAAACAAAAACACCCAAAGAAAACCCCACCATAGCTCATAAACTAAGTACATTTAATACTGAAGTATAAAATAAGTCACCCACATACAAGCTAGATATCTTATGAAAAGGATATCTTTGCACAACAGATTATAAAAAGAAAATACCTAGAAAAGCTAGTTAAAATTACTGAGAACAGGAGCTGGGCACGGTGGCACATGCCTGTAAGACCAGCAGTCTGAGAGGCTGAGGCAGAATGGATGCACTTTTGAGGCCAGCCTGGATTAAATACTGTGTTTCCCTGCAAATAAGACTGGCTGGAAAATAATCAGCCATGAAAACTAGAGATCAAAATTGCTAAAAAAATGCCACCAAGATATATCATGTAAAGGTACAAATTCCCAGTGCTGTCATATTATATACCTAAAAATGCACCAGTAAACTTAATTTTTTAAAAAAGTACAGGGGTCTGGGATTTAGCTCAATGTTCTACTGCCTGGCTCACAAGTGCAAGATCCTGAGTTCGATTCCTGGCACCAAAACAAAACAAACAAGAAAAATGCCAGCCCCAATCATCTCCTCTTTGCCTTACCTGCTTGCAGAACAGCCACCAAGCAAGAATAATGATGGTGGGTAAGGAAAGGATAGCCTGATCGAGGCTGGCAGGGTTGGAGACAGGGTCTCATTATTTAGTTCAGGCTGGCCTTGAACTGGCAGCGATCTCCCGCCTCAGCTTCCTGAATGGGCCACCATGCCTGGCTCTGGGGCTGGCATTTTGAATCTCTGATTTTCAGGGCTCATTTTTTTCCAGCTAGGTCTTATTTTCATGGAAAGAAGGTAAAGAGACCCTGTCTCACCACCATCCTCTCCCCAAAAGTTACTAAGAAAAGTTACTGAAATAAAAAGAATTACTGAGAACCAGAGAGCAGTATGTGAGGAACCCAGTGAGGAGTCTCACTGTCTACTAAACCGTCTCACCTCTCTCTCCATCAATCAAACCATCATGTGTGTGGTGCTGAAGATCAGACCTAGGGGAGCTCTACCACTACGCTACATCGCGGTCCCTTTTCGTATTTGAGACAGGGTCTTACTGGGTTCCCCAGGCTGGCCTTGAACTTTCCATCTTCTGCTTCAGCCTCCCAAGTAGCTGGATTACAGGCATGCACCAGTATTGCCTGGCTAAACTGCATTGCTTTCAAAAAAGTAATCTAAAAAAAAAAAAAAGTGGCTTGTTACACTTACCATACAGTTGTTACTCTTCATACCAACAAAGTGGCATCATTCTGGGCTGTCAGTCCCTAAAACACTTTTTTAAAAAAATCACAGCACAAGAGGCTCAAGACCCAATGCAGGCCGGGCATGGTGGTGGCACACAGTGTAGTTCTAGCATTTGGGAGGCTGAGGCGAGAGCATCGCCACAAGTTGAAGGCCAGCCTGGGCTACAAACTGAATGCAAGGCCAGCCTGAACAACATAGCAAGATCTGTCTCAAAAAAAGAAAAAAGACCCAATGCAAGGGGCTAAGAAACATAACTAAATCATTAAAAGGATCAGAGAATAAGCCACTTTGGGAAAATGTTAAATTTCACAGGAACTCGGAATAGCTGGGGTTGAGGCAGATATGATGCTATTTCTGAACCACGAGGTACCCGTTGTCACTAGCTCTGGGAAACCTAACTGAAAGCTTCTTTCTGAAGTCTGATGGTTTGAGATATAAATGTAAAAGGGAAATAGGGAGGACCCTCAAATTAACTGGCATGAAAATGCTCCTCCAGAAGTAACCAGCTACTTGGAACTGCGACCCGAGTGTGGACAAGCAATTCTGTCCCGTCACTGATGGCAACTCCAACTTGGGAAATAATATGATGGTTTTGAGCTTCAATTTTTATTTACAAGAAAATGAAGAATGCCCTTGTAACTTCTAACTGGGAATAAGAAAAACAATACGAAGACGCAGGTGCTGGCTCCACAGGGATCTGTGCATGGAGGTCATACCACTGTTCCTCTGAACGATGACTGTGCCATTTCAAACCACAAAACAGAATCCCATATGATATCTTCATGTTGCATACGTGAAAGCATTAAAAGTAAAAGTGATCAAACAAATTCCCTGGCCAGTGTGGAAGTGACCAGGGTGTTACCTTCTTTCAGGGACAGCCCTAACTCTCCAAGCCCTAATATTCATCAAGAGTATCTGCTCGAGGAATGGAGAGACCCCGATCCTTCAAGGCTTGGACTTTCAGCTTCTCTGCTTCCAGCTTGGTCTGCTGCTCCACTCTCTGCTCTTCTAGGATCTCCTCGATGGACACTTGCTGGAGGGGTGTGTCGCTCTCCTTCTCCAAGTCCTGCAAAACAGGCAGCTCTGAAACGCTTCACCTGAAGCCCAAGAAAAGCAAATCTTACAGATGCAAAGGCACCTAGGCTCCTGGTCAGAGCTGGGAAATACCCTGCTCCGGAGACAGGCACCTTTCCCACGGCACAGCCCGCAACACCATGATGGGACACAGGCTCCTAATGTGGTCACAGGGATCAGCATCAGCGTGCACAGCAGCAATGCCTCAGCTTAAGTCAAAATACTGCAGTAGTCAGGAGTGACTTTAGTCAAGCATTACCTTTTTTCTTTTTCCTGGTACTGGGGATCGAACTCAGGACCTTGTACTTGTGAGGCAGGTGTGGTGTCACTGTGCTAAATTCCAGGCCCAACTTTTCTTTAAAATAAAATTATCAGGGTTGCTTCTAGGAAGCTATCTTCCTAATAGTACAGAATCCAAGAAAATTACTGGTAAGTTTTATATTTTGAAATTTCATCTTAATTTCGACAGTTTCTGCTCAGTATAGAAGGTGGATTCAACTCCTTTCTAATGGCAATAAACTGTTTCTCTATTGTACTAATTATAAGCACCTAAATTATAACAAGATTCTTCCCCCTTCTATAGAAACAAGTCTACAAAAAACATGAGGCCAGGTGTTGTGGTGCATGCCTGTAATCCCAGCACTCGGAGGCAGCACAATCACCTCAAGTTCAAGGATAGCCTGGGCTGCATAGTGAGTTCTGGGCCAGAATGAACTACAAAGCCAGACCCTGCCTCAAACCCCCCCCCACACACACAAAAAAAGAAAGAAAACTTCCTCAATCTGGGCACGGTGGTGCACGCCTATAATCCCAGCCCTCAGGAAAATGAGACAGAAGGATCACTGCAGGTTTGAAGCCAGCCTGAGCTACGTAGTGTGACTCTGTCTCAAAACACAAACAGATAAAAGTATAGTATCATTCTGTTTTTTGCTCTTTTGTACCGTGGACAGCCTTCCCAGACAGAGTACCCGTTTCTTACCTTCCTCTGTGACTTCACAGAGAAGGTGTGGGTCGACACTAACACATCCATACTCTACAGATGTTTCAGCCTGGAAACTACTGTAACATGCCAAGGTCTAAGGACCTTACCAGGGGCTCTCTCACCAGGCGCTAGAGGGAGTCACACAAATGACTTAGGCTACCCTTGACCTCAGCCAAAAGTTAAGAGCAGTCAGCAAAATTATAACATCACCAGGGCTACGGGCTGCGGTGGGGGGGCAGTGTACTCACTGTCTTCAGGCCTTGTGTCACCCGCTGAGCTATGCACGCTGCCCCGAGACCTTGGGTTTATTACTTCAGCCGCATGCATCACATCCTGGAGCTGGAATCCAGGGGCCTCTTGGGCCAGGCAATGTCTAGGGAATGTGAAGCGCTCCTGGCGCGTTTCCTTGGCGTCAGTGGTTTCTTCATGCTGACCTCTGATCCACATAACTGCGTTAGCGTTCCTGACCTGTTTCTGCAGTGGTACTACTGTAAAACTGCACTGTTCAAACCCAGTAACAACAAAAATTCCACATGGGGAACCTCCAGGAAACAGTGACTCTTTCAGAACAAATAGTTTTTTGTTTTTTTTCTCCCAGTACTAGGGACTGAACTCAGGACCTTGCACTTGCAAGGCAGGCGTGGTGCCACTGAGCTAAATCCCTGGCCAAAGAAAAAAATAGGTTTTCTTTCCTTCTTCCTCTTGGCAGGCACACACACACCCACCCCTTTGTGCAAGGTCACTGTTCACTCCTACAAAACTGATACTCATATGTATAACTGGGGAAGTCTTTCCCTTGACAGCAAAGTAATATGTTCTCGCTAGAAACTGAATTCAGAAAAGCAGTCGACACCCCCCAAATCCCCAGCACCTACAGGTTGGGGAGCTCCTCTAACAGGGGTAGACTACCCCACAGTCCTTGGGGTACCAGGTGCTTTACTTCAACCTTTGTATAAAAATGACCATTTCTGTTGCTTTAAAAAATGTTGAAAATGATAAGCTGAACCAAATGTACCAACTAACGCATGTTTTCCAAGTGAGGAAACAGTATTTTAGCCTTGCCTCTGCAGCACTTGGGCAGTGCTGATACAGTAGACTAGTCTGCCAGTCACTTCTGATTGTTTCCAACAGGGTTACTGCACCAACCCGACCTTCACCAGGTTATCTCCTCCAGGTCTCACATCCAAAGTTCATTCTGTATAAACCTGAGTTGTTTCCCAAGATTGAAGAATAAATTTTGAGGACAAAATTTGGAGGAATTTAGGAGTGTTTATTAAAAATAGTAAGAAAAATGTTCTTGGTGGATACTTGAAAGGGGAAACAAGTCTGACGTACCTTCTTTGTTTTGGCCTTATATGTGAGACTTGTTTTAAACAGGTGGCATTGAACTCATTATGTATCCCAGGCTAGTCTAGGACTTGCTGCAGCAATTCTCCTGCCTCAGCCTCTTGAGTGCTGGGATTATAGGTGGGGCCATCAGGTCTAGCTTGGCTTTGGGATTTAAAGGAAATTAATTATTTAGCTGGTTCACAGGAAACTTGAGTTCAAAGGAAATTGGTCAATTCTGCATCCCTCAGTTTTTCCAAGTCTAGCCAGGAAGTTAGGGAGGAGATGTCAGCTAATCTAGTATCTCTTCTTCCTGGGAGGAAAGGTCCTTATCGCTATTGTTTTGGTTTGTTCTGTTTTCTTCAGACAGGGCCTTGCTATGTAGTTCAGACTGGCCTTGAACCCCAAACTCATCTGTAGCCCAGGCTGCCTCCAACTTTGCAGCAATCCTCGTGACTTGGCCTCCTGAGTGCTGAGATCGCACCTCGCTGCCACTGTGCACCGGCAGCCTACATTCCTTTTTTTCCCCCTGGTACCGGGGATTAAACTTAGCACCTTGGGTTTTCGAGGCAGGCGCGGGGCCATTGAGCTAAATCCCTGGGCTGTTCTATTGCTTTTTACTGCAGTTTTCATCCTCCTCCTTCTGTTTACCTTTGTATCCCTAAGCTTGGCCCAGCTTCTTGCACCATCCACCTGGGCTACTTCTGTCTACTCCTGATAACTGAATTACTACATGTCCTTGCTTTGGCAGCGCAATATACCAAATTAAACTACTACAAAATGACATTAAAAAATAGCTTCAAACAAAACCACTCTCTTCAAAAGACTTCTGTAAACCGAAGGTGTGGCTAGGTATTGGGAAACTTTATAAAAAACTTTTAAAAAAAGCAGGTGCCGAAGTTCTGGGTAAAGAAAAGGAAAACAGAATGATTACCAGTCCTCCCTTCTGCCTCCCTTTCTGTGGGGCTAGGGATGGAACCCCGAGTCTCTTACATGCTATGCTGCTGCTCTTCCCTGAGGTACAGCCCCAAACCCAAGTTTTGAAGAGATTTTGATGTTGATTTTCATGGCAAATCCATTAGTCTGAAGCAGTAGGGGTCGATTACAAGTGCAAACACTTGTGTCTGTGTGCACATACCACAGGCCCACGGACAGGGCGGAAGGCCTCCCTGCCTCCCTGCCATCCATTCTCAGGCCAGGTCATGGAAGGGCTTTTCCTACAGCCACTCCTTCCCCTTGACCTCTTTAAAAATATGAATAATGGGGCCAGGGATTTAGCTCAGTGGCTCCGCCACCTGCCTTGCAAGCTCAAGGACCCAAGTTTGATACCTGGTACCAAAAAAAAAAAAAAAAAAAAAAAAAAAAAAATACACTGGATATGCAATGTATCTTTCCCTCAAACACAGATAACTGACTTCATGTCATGAACTTCTTGTAACCAATTTATTTAAACAGTTGCAAGATATTCCAATGTATGTAAATCATACTCTTTTTTTTGGTATCGGGATCAAACTCGGGACCTTGTGCTTGCGAGGCAGGTGGTGGAACCACTGAGCCAAATCCCCAGCCCTAAATCATACTTTGATAACATACATAAAGCTTCTTCAATATACATAAAGTTTCTTCAATTTTCTACTACTAGAGATAACAGAAATGCTGTGTAAATGAACACATTTATTTTATTTTTTTTAATGGTACAGGGGATCGAACTCGGGTCCCTGCACTTGCAAGGCAGGCAGTGGAACCACTTAGCTAAATCCCCAGCCCGAACACCTTTATGTTAAAGAATTTTTCTTAGTGTTTTGTTTTGTTTGAGACAGGGTCTCATTATGTAGTCAGGGCAGGTCTTGAACTCACTACGTAGCCCAGGCTGGCCTCACACTCATGTCATGCCTCCTGCCTCAACCGCCCGAATGCTAGGATCACAGGCGTGTGCCACCATGCCCAGCTCCTGGCTTGTATTTTTTATATCAGGTAAAATCAATAGTTTGCAAATAGGATAAAAATCTTTAAAATGTCAAAAGGCAATGGAACAGAGTTAATTCTTCTTAGTAGCTTCCCTTTGATAACTGTAGCTTTCCTAACTTAGTAGATGCCTGTGAGAAGCTGGGTAAAATATGGAAATTATTTTTTTCCTCTTGAAAAGACAAAAAAACCTAACTAGTATGAATAGCAAGATCCATAGCAGATTACGTTTTCTCTTACTAGGGCCGGGGACTTAGCTCAGTGGTGCCGCTGCCTGCCTCGCAAGCACAAGGTCCCCAGTTTGATCCCCAGTACCAAGAAAACCCCCTCTGAACAGTTTCACTTACTATTTCTCCTAGTAGGACCACATTTTCTCCTCTGACCACAAAAATCCCTCGAGGAATGTCACCGTATTTTTTGCCCACATGAATACGCTCCACAGTCTGATGTAGAACTAAGTTAGCTATAAATGCACAGGGAAGAAACAAAGATATTTAGTTCCTATTATTGAGGAAAGGTCCATAAATTATTCAGTTATGGCATTCTGAGAAGACTTAGCTAAACAAAATTTGCAAACTTTCTCATTTTGGGAAAAACAAATTTCAAATAATCATATGTTTCACTAAGTAAGACACACCATTTAGGAAATCCTTAAAAAACTGCAAATTAAGAGTACTTGGGATAAGGCTGTGCTAAGTCATGAATGATAGCAAAAATAAGTTCTGAAATATAAATTCCTTTAATTGCTAATATCAACATGTCTACCACACCACATATATGAATAGGAATTTAGAAAACCTGAGCTTAAACAACCACAGAAATTAAACTGGTGTTTTTGAAGGAGTTGACTTTTCTCTATGGCATGGCACATGTATACGACTTCCTGGAGACTTAACTTTGGTCCTGTACTTGGGATTCATTTAACCTATTATTAAGTATCCATGGATTATGTGGGAAAAACCTATTTTTCACCGATCAGATAAACATACCTGATAAAGTGAAACTCAATATTCACTCCTTAACCTTCAAGGTACTCTGATATCCGAGAGATTTGAGATTTAGAACCCTAATCTGTTATGAATAATTATTTTCTTCTTTCAATTAGTAATTACTTGTATTTGAAGTAAATCAGAAATGTATGTCATATCTTTTCTGTTTCTTTTTTTGAGAAGAGGTTTAGCTGTGTTGCCCAGGCTGGCCTTGGATTCCTAAACTCAAGTGACTCTCCTGTCTCAGGAGCTGGGACTACAGTTGTACACTACCACACCCAGCTATTTTTATCTTCTATAATTCTCGTGTATCACATATGTTGTTTCTTTCATGCTTAAAACGAGTGATCTAACAGGTATCTAACAACATAGATGTGAATTGAGAAGTTATTAAAACAGAAACACAGATGTCTTAACTTTAGGAAAATGCAGACTTCAAAACAAAGACGGAGACTCCTGTTTGCTATGTCCCCCTATATATCGTTTAACATTAATAAAAAGCTTCAGAAAATGCCTTTCGCCCACTTTTCACTGGACAGGGAGGGATTACCTTCAGTGCAGGAAGTGCTTTGAAGAGTAGGAGCACCCAATGTACAAATGAGCAGCTTTTGCAGTGGACTGAGTTTATTTCTACCACTTGGCTCCCTCTAATGGGGGAAATAAAAAAACAGTCCAAAACACTGTAGTGAAGACCAGTGTAGAAATATGTGCCTGTAAATATACAAGCTTTTGAATCACCCAATCATGATGTAGAAAACAATGATTTACTCACTCAAAACAGTTCCATGGGGAAGCTGCAGCTAAATTTTAATATGAAATAACAACCACCACAAAGGGCAGTGGGTGGCTCTTACTATCTAGGGAATTAAAGAAGTCCATAGTTAATACATACCAAATTGATCAATGCTTCTTAAGAAGCCTATAAGTGTCCTTCCATCTCGAAGCAGGACCAAATGTTTTTCTGAGGAGAGGAAAAAACATCTTTAATATGAATTCTGTCTGGGCTGGGGATTTAGCTCAGTGGTTCCGCCAGCTGCCTCGAAAGTTCAAGGTCCCAAGTTGATCCCTGGTACCAAAACAAACAAAAAAAAGAATCTTGTCTGCCTCAATGAATTTACAACAGTAACATAAAGTTAACAGTTTAAGCTGTATCACTTCCTCTGGCAATGCATTTAAGGTGGAGCTCACCTGGAAAACGGAAGCAGCACTACAGCAGCTGGGCACTGGACTAGAGAGCAGTCGTGAGGGGAACCATGCAGCAGGGTTAGAGAAGGCCGGGAAGCTGGGCTGACCGGACCTACATATTTGACACAACCCACTCAGTGTGGGGTCAGTTTCTGGGCTATAGATTGACAAATTTAATCTAGATGATCTTTATGATCTTAATCCTAGAATTACTTTTCTTTCAATTTACAATAATTTCACTGGGCATGGTGGTATACACCTGACATCCCACTACGGGGGAAGCTGAGGCAGGAGGATTGCAACTTGGAGGTGAGCCTCAGCAACTTAGCAAGACCCTGTCTCAAAACAAATCAACAAACAAAAGCTGCCTGGAGGTCTATAGTTCAGGAGTAGAGCCCTTGCCTAGCATCTGTCAAGGCCCTAAGTTCAGACCCCAGCATCAAAACAAAAACAATGCCTCAGACATTTAAAATGAGAATGCAAGAGGGTGACAGGGCCAGGGACTTAGCTCAGTGGTGCCACCATCTGCCTCAAAAGTGCAAGGTCCTGAGTTCTATCCCTGGTATCAAAAAAATTAAAAAATAAATGAGAACAGGATTATATATGCTAGAGGAGAAATTCAGTATTTACTGAGAATTATATTCTGTTCTAGGGTCTGAAAATTCATAAGGGATCAACCTTATGAATGACAAGAATAAACTCTAGCTGGGGACGCTGGGGATTTAGCTCAGTGGTTCTGCCACCTGCCTCACAAGCACAAGGTCCTGAGTTTGACCCCTGGTACCAAAAAAAGAAAGAAAGAAAAGAAAAAAGAATAAACTCTTTTTTGGGGCGGGGGCAGGGTACCGGGGATTGAACTTGGGTCTTTGCGCTTGCAAGGCAGGCCACCGAACCGCTGAGCTAAATCCCAGGCCCAAAACCACATCGCAAAAGAATAAACTCTTTTTTGGGGCGGGGGCAGGGTACCGGGGATTGAACTTGGGTCTTTGCGCTTGCAAGGCAGGCCACCGAACCGCTGAGCTAAATCCCAGGCCCAAAACCACATCGCAAAAGAATAAACTCTTAATAAAGTCAAACAAATTTCAGCCATTCATTTCTTTAATGCCTTACATAAATAGTTTATAGACACAGAAGTGTAGGGCAGTAATTTTTGTCCTGAAGGCACTTATTATCTTTCTTGGGCTATATTTAACTTCCATAGGCAAATAAATCTTTTTGTTTGTTTGTTTTTTTGAGACAAGGTCTCACTATGTGGTTGAGACTGACCTGAAACTCACTATGTGGCTCAGGCTGGTCTTGAATTCACAGCAATCCTCCTGCCTCAGCCTCCCAAGTGCTGGGATTAGAGGCGTGGGCCACCATGCCTGGCTAAATAAATCTTAATTATGAGACCAGAGAGAGAAATGGTATTCACCTGGAGGATCCTGAGCTGGACCCTGAAAAACAAGCAAGCTTTGGCTAGGAGAAAGGGAAGGGAAAGGAAATCTGTAAATTACACAAAAGTAAAAAAAAAGGGGGGGGGACTATATCTCCACATGTGTGGCTGGGCATGGTGGCGCATGCCTGTAATCCCAGCACTGGGGAGGCTGAGGCAGGAGGATTGCTGTGAGTTTGAGACCACAATGGGCTACACAGTGAGTTCCAGAGCAGTCTGAACTACATAGTAAGACCCTGTCTCAAAAAACCAAAAAAAAAAAAAAACCAACAACAGAAAAAACATATGTGTGGCTGAAAGATGCAGATATGAAGGAAAAGAACAGAAGTTAAAGTCAGAAAAGTATCAGGAGAAAGCTGGTCATGGTGGCATAGGCCTGTAATCCCATTGGGAGGATGAGGCAGGATTGTGAATCTGAGGTCAGCCTGGGCTATGTAGTGAATTCAAGGCCAACCTGGACTACATAGTGAGAGCCTATCTCAACAAAAACAACAACAACAACAAAAAAAAAAAACCCAAAAAAGTATTGGGGAAAGCTGAATTTGAATTTGACTTCATAGAGACCCAGAAAACATTAAAGATTCATCTAGCAGAAAAGCAAGAGAATTATAAGGCTCAAGTCCATTTAGAAGACCCGCCTAGCAATTTAGAGAAAACAGCAGATGAAACATGGAACTCAGACCACCTGTTCTGGGAAACAGTAAGCGTCACAAAATAAAATCAGCAACAGTGTTAGAGAAAGCAAGAAAGCAGAGTGAAGAATCTAGTGGTGATACTATCACAATGCTACAGAGGTAAGGTCTCAGAGGAGGGTCTCGGATTGAGGACTGAAGAAAGTGGCTTCAGCAGTGTGCTGGCAGCAAAAATTAGCAGGCGCAACCAAAAGTGATTAGGAGACATATGGTCAAAAAGAGACAACATAAGATATAGAGATGGGACATCAATGGGGAGACATATCTTAAAGTGTTTGAGATGGACAGACAGTAATATATAGGAGGGAAGGGTGGGGGAAGAGAGAGACAACAACAAAAAAGATACTCCTGGAAGAAGCTTCCAGAAGCGGTAGAAAGAGCAATACTAAAGAATACTTCTTGTGCAAATGAAGGGTGAAAATACAGACAGACTGAGGGGTTAGGAGAGAATGTGTGTGTTGTAGGGGTTGGGGAGTGAAGGGTCTTCAGAATATTAAAGGGTTTCAAACTTTTCAGTATAGAAGAGGGTGATGAAATCTACCAATCTTTCCCACTTGCAGTTCACAGTAGCCTACTCCTGTGAGACCCTAATGTCACCTCTGATCTGACAGGAGGGGCTCAGGCAGCAATACGAGCCATGGGCGGGGGCTGGAAGACTGGGTCTAGCTGCTCCCCTCTAGCTGTGCAGCTGGGTTCCAGACAAGCCACAGATGGGTCGGGGTGAGACCCCTGTCAGGAGCTTCAAGTAATTCTGATCTATGAGATATACAGGGCATCCGCAAACCACTAAAATACAACTATTTTCTTATGACTTACACAGAGGTTTATAAAGTGGTTGTTGTTATAGTATTCGGTCCAAATTACACTAATGATCTCAAATAACTCTAAAATGAGAATATGACCATAGATTCACTCTAACCTGCACAGTCACAGTAACTAGGAACACGGATGAGGGTCTTCTTAGTAAAATAAAATTATCTAACAGGAAAAACAAAAGTTCGAAGTGACTCTGTCTTTCTAGGAAAGTCAGTACCACCTCTGGCACACTACAATAACCTGAAAGCGCTAACGACCCGCACAGTAAAGGACAGTTGCAAATGGTTACGTAAAGGAAAGCCCACGTTCATTGCTAATTAAACCCAAGTGATGTTGTCTTAATGCTTTCGTGGGTTTTTGTTGTTTGTTTGTATGACTTCTTCCCGTATGTACTGGTACTTCAAAATATTGCAGACGGAAAACAATGGACGCGGGAGAAGTGTGCTGGGTCATTCTCGAGTTCGGGCCTCGGCTGCAAGGATGAATCCCACAGCTGCGCTCCTCAGCCCGAGGACCGGCGTGGAGAGCGAGGGGCGGAACCGGGGCGGAGGCTGTCCGCTCGGACGCTCAGCCCTGCGTGCAGAGCAGGGCCCGGCCCGGGGCTCCTCTGACAAGCTCCCTCAGGAGAGGCGCCAGCCCGAGAGGGGGCTGCCCTGGCTTCGCTGGGCGGAGAGGAGCTACTCACTGTCGATGTCCTCGATGAGGCTGGCGGTGCCGGGCATATAGTTCATTTTGAACTTTGACTGGGCAGCAGGGGATAGCGGAGGTGGGCCAGCGCGTCTGACACCTCCTTCCTGCCACCGTAGTCGCCGCCTCGGCGGGACCGGGACCGGAATCCCGACCTGGGCCAGCAAGTTTGTCCCGGCGCGCCGCGGCCCGAGCCTGCCAGAAGCGCTTTCATATTCCCCCACCTACTTCCGGTACCGCGTGCCCGTCCCCCGGAAGAGGAGGGCAGTCGTGCATCCGGGTGCGCAGTGCTACCATCCCTGGTAAGCAGGGAGAAGGGCCGTAGATTGAACAGACAGCCGGAAAATTTATCTTCCAGTCTAAGGAGCACAGTGCCTAGCTCTCACGGTCCTCCTAGGAAGCCCTGCAGACCCGAGTGGCTGTGTGTCTACTCTCCCGGCTCGGCGGCGGGAGGGGCGGGACCGAGCCCGGGATTGGCTGTTCCCGTCCGACCCCTTCACGGCTGTCCAGTCCCACTGGCCCGGCGGCGCCCAGACAGCCGGAAAATTTATCTTCCAGTCTAAGGAGCACAGTGCCTAGCTCTCACGGTCCTCCTAGGAAGCCCTGCAGACCCGAGTGGCTGTGTGTCTACTCTCCCGGCTCGGCGGCGGGAGGGGCGGGACCGAGCCCGGGATTGGCTGTTCCCGTCCGACCCCTTCACGGCTGTCCAGTCCCACTGGCCCGGCGGCGCCCGGCGCCATCCCCAGCCCCCCATTTCCTGGCGGGTGCGCGGGGGCGGCCCGGAGACCACCTGGTCCGGAGAAGGCGGAGGTGGCGAGGGCTACTACTCCTCTGGGGGCGCCTGGTCGGACCCCGGTCGAGCTGGAGGAAGCCACCAGGTGAGAATTGCACCATCTGTCCTGGGGAATCCAGTGAGGGGGTCTTCGGTGGCGGGAGGCGAGGGACACTGGGGGTTCGTAGCTCTCGGGTTGGTCGGGGCTCGGGTTTCATGTTTGTTTTCCTTTTGCGGGTGTGTGGGGTGTGTGTCGAAGAGACGGGTGGGGAGACACGCTTGGTTCTCTTCCTCTGCGCTTCTGCTTCGGCCACAGTGCGTGCGTGTGTGTTACCACTAAAAGGGAAAAAAACGCTGCGTTGACTTCTGTGCGGGCGATGTCGCTGGAGTGACAGGGCTCCGCTTGAGCTGTGGCAATTTATCCTGCGTGGCCAGGGTGGCTGCAGCCCCCGTCGTCGCTCAGCAACCCCTCCCGCGGGGAAGAATCCTGAATGAGGAGGCGGGACTAGGGCATTTATACCTTTGCGCTTAAGGCCTTGCCCGGGATTGACTCCCGTCATAGTCATTGTGAAAGTAACTTTACGTGCATTGTTTTATTTGACAGTTATGGACTGCAAGGTACGTGTCATTATGGTACCTTATTTTCACATAAAGTAGGCAGCGCTGAGAGGTTAACCCACTTGGTCACTATATTTAAACTTGTAACAATTTATTCTCTGTACACCAACCTTAAGTATATTTCTATTTTGTTAGTGCAGTATTCTTAGCGTAATTATCGTTATAATGTGGAAGCCCACCTCTTTTTGTTCAGAAAGTATAGCTCAGTTGGTGAAAAGGTTAGAATGAAAGTCTCACACGTTGCCTGTGGGATTGTAAAATGGTACAGTACTTTGAAAAATAGTTGGACAATTGTCCAAAATATTAAGCATAGTATTATATGATCCAGCATGTCCACTCCTGGCTGTATACCCAAAAGAGCCAAGAACGTCCTCGTAAAAACTTTTATTCAACAAGCAAAATGGCCATCAGCTGATGAATTGATTACGTGATATATTCATACAATAAAATATTATTTGGCCACAGATAGAACTGAAGTACTGATACGCACTATAGCGTGAAGGAACCTTGAGATCATGCACTGTGAGTGAAGCCAACGACCAAGATCGCGTATTACACGATTCCATTTATATAAAATTGCAGGACCAGAAGGTGGGGAAGGGGGGGTATTGAGCAGCTTATGGAATTTGGGTTTTTTGGGTTGTTTTTGAGACTGGGTCTCACCATGTAGTTCTGGCCTCGGACTCACTGCAATCCTTCTGCCTCAGGCTCCTAAGTGCTGGGATTACAGGCACCTGGCTTTTTTTGTTTTTTTTGAGACACATCTTGCAATGTAGTCCAGCCAGCTTTGAATGTACTACTTATCCCAGGCTGGCCTCAAACTCACAGTAATCCTCCTGCCATAGCCTCCTGAGTGGGATTACAGGTGTGCACCACCACTGTGCTCGGCCCGTGGGGGTTTTTTTTTTTTGAGGTGATGAAATGTTCTCAAATTAGTGGTGATGATTGCACAACTATGACTGTGCTAACAGTAACTGAATTATAGACATCTAATGGGTGGGTTTTATGTATTATATCTCAAAAATTATATGAGCAACATATATCAATGAGAGGAAAGATTCATAGTTGTGGGGCTTAACTCTGGAATAAGTAGGCTGTGAGACTTTAATCCCATGGTCATGTGATGAAATGTTGGCCTATAAATTAAAGATCATTTGAATGGAAATAGGAGCAGACCTCTGAACTGCTAACTGATTTCTTTTGAGCTTGCTGTGTTATCAAAAGAAAAATGTGTCTTTTAGGGTAGAGCTAAGAACAGGTTAGACAGACAGGAAAAGCTAAGATTTCAGCCTTGTGTAGAGAGCTGTGGGGTAGGGTTGGGGTGGTAAGTGTACCTCTAGGGTGAGAAACAGTGCTGGGATAGTTGGAAATAAAACTAGACACGTGTAATGGGCATTCTAAGAGTCTGTACTTTACTATTGAGGTTGATTATTCTGAAACTTTAAAAGTAAGAGATGATGTTCAATCCCTAGTACCAAAAAAAAAAAAAAAAAGGTATGGGATGATAATTTTTTCCAAAGCAATAAAAAAAAGTACAAAAAAATGTGTATTGTCTTTATTGATTTGTATATTTTATGTTTTTGTATTATCAAATCTATCAAACTAAAAGAGATACAAAGAACTTAAAAAATCTTGCTACTCAAAAAATGTACTTTTTGGACCAGAAGCTCGTGAGTTCATTAGAAATGCAGAATCTGCCTAGTGTAGTGCTGTAGTTCCAGCACTGGGAGGCACCGCAAGTTTGTGGGTGACCAGCCTGGACTACACAGTGAGCTCAAGGCCAGTCTGAACTACATAGTGAGACCCTGTCTCAAAAAACAACAACAAAAAAACAAACAAAAAAGAAATTCAGAATTTGTCTTCTTTCAGACTTCCTTCTGTACTTATTAAGATCCCCAGTGATTTATATGCATGAAGAAGCACTGCATTATTGAAACGGATACATGAGATGTTACACTGAACTGTAAAAAACATTTGACTATTAACATATTTAAACATGGCAGGGAAAAAAATTGGAAATTTATCATTTCCTCCATTTTTTTCCCTTTTTTTTTGTACTGGGATCTAACTCAGGACCTCGTTCTTGCAAGGCAGGTGCAGTGCCACTAAGCAAAATCTGTGGCCCCTCCATTTTTTTAAACTTTGAAGAGTAAAAGTTTTCTTATCCTGTTAGCTATCTAGAAAGTATACTGCAAACTGGGTGTTGTGGCACCTAAAATTCCAGCACTTGGGAGATTGAGGCAGGTGAATCACTGAGTTTGAGGTCAGCTTTGGCTATATAGTGAGTTCAAGCCCAATCTAAACTATTAAAAAAAAAAAAATAGGAAGGTAGTGCAAATGCGCAGTACATTTACTTTGTGGTCCAACACCTCACTCAACAGCACATGCATCCTGTGAGCTTGCTGGAAATGCCATGTTTCAGGTCCTGTCCCAGAGCTAACAGACCCCTAGGTGATTTGCCCTTTTCCCCCAGACAAGTCATCAAGAGAGCAGGCATGGCAAAAGCTGCAGTCTCTTAACCTCATCTTGAAAGCAACGTGCCATTTATTTGCCATCTGTTATCTTAGAACAATGTGGTACAACGTGAGAGGCAGCCAGGGGGCAGCAGTGTATGGGAGTCATGTTGGAAGATGGCTGTGTCAGGAAGAGAGCTTAGTTGGACTTCTGCAGAATTTCAGAAGAGAGGTAACAAGCACATACACCTGAGTAATGGCTAAATGTAGAGATCTTTTTCCTAACACCTTATATAAAAATTCCAAACATACCGAAAAGTTGAAAGAGTTTTAAGTAAACACCCATATATTTACCACCTAGATTCTGTAGTTAGCATTCTCTTTTTGCTTTTATCACATCTATACATTTTGCTTTTGGGATGCAGATAGATTTAAAAGTGGGTTTTTTTTTGTTTGTTTGTTTATGGTACCAGGGGATGGAACTCAAGTCCCTCCAGGTGGCAGAACTACTGAGCTAAATCCCTGGCCCTGTTGTTTTCTTTTTAAAGACTGTTTGGCTGTGTAATTTCAGGCTGGTTTTCAACTCACTATATAGGCCATGCTGGCCTTGAACTCATGGCAATCATCCTGCCTCAGCCTCCCAAGTGCTGGGAGTATAGGTGTGCCCCACCATGCCTGGTTTAAAAGATTTTTTTTTTTCTTTTTATTGAGTTTATTGGTACAATCTAGGTATACAATACAGTTACATTCATCATTGGGATTCTGTACCTTCACATAATAGGTCTTGATTCTCATTTTTTTCCCCTATTCCCTGCCCTCCCTTCACCCCCTCCTCCCCTCCCATTTACAAACACTTTATTTCCATTTTTTCAGTTTCTTATATTTTTTTCCTCTCCCTTATTATCTTGCCCCCACCCTTCCCACTTTCCCTACATCTTTAGCCCTTTACTTCCTATTTCACATTATTAATTATCTCATTAGGATCCTGTGTACTATTATAGTTTTTCACACCAAAGAAACTATTTGGTATTTCAGTTAAAGAAATCTCTGTATGAACATTAAAAATAGGGAATCCAAAATAAAACTAAAAAGGAAAGTAAAAGAGAAAAGGCAGTGATGTAACATTAAAATAATCCTTAATTGTGGAGATGAAAATGGTCCCTGAACATATTTAAATTGCTTCTTGCTCTTATAGTCTTATTCTTTTTTTCATTATTTAGAGAATATTAGTTTCTGTAATCAAACCCACGTAGATATGACCTTACATATTCAGTACGATGTGTTACCCCTGTATACATGGAAAAAAAATAAAAAATAAAAATTAAAAAAATTAACATTTCTAGACCAATATGGCTGTCCATTTCTGTACAATGCCAACTCAACACAGTAAATTGGGATGACTTTTTGCAA